CCAGGAAGCCCAAGGTTGCATTTGTTGCATTTTTTGATGCAGTCTCCCAAAGCATAGTCCGGTCGAAGGGTTGGGAAAGGTTTCACAATGGTTTCATCAGTTTCCAAAGTGCTGGCACAGCTGCGAAGCCACTCTTTGGAAGGAGGTGAGTGTGTCATGCGCTCATAGTCCTCCAAAGTCAACTTTGGGTCAAACACATCTTCCGAAATGGGGCTGGCAGCATCCAAACTTATTGGCGAATCAGCAGGATGTGAGGATTGATTCTGTGCTGCTGGTTGTTGCTGATGCACTGGTTCTTCTGCTTGTTGTTCTAGTGGCTGCTGTTCCAGTGGTTGATGTTCTGACGGTTGCTCTTGTTGTACTGGTGTAATATCCAGACCGGCATCTGCAAAGTCAAACTGGTTTCCGACAATTTCACCTCCATGCCTCAATGCCATGGCTCCCACAATGCTGGAATAACCTCCACCAGAGGACAGCATGAGCTTTTTGGCATAACTCATAAAGTAGAAATCCTTGTCGGCATCTCCACTGTCCAAACTCAGTTCCACCACTCTACCAGCTTTGGCCAGGCCTCTCTGAAGACAGTTGGCATAGACTCTTGCCTTTTCAAATAATTCTGGTTTGTTGTGTGATCCGCCACCCACGAAAACCAGTTTGGCATCGGGATGTTGGGATAGCTCCTCTAGATAGTCGTAAAGACTCCGAAGCGTTTTAAGCTTTGCGTTTTTGGCTTCAGGCTGATCACTTTCAACAGCACCTTGTGTCAGGAGATCTCCGACTGAGGAATCTGTGATTGTGTCCACACCATCTCCGAGTGGAAGATGAATGACAATGTCATTGGGATCCGGCTTGACAAAGCCCTCTCTTTGACCAACTATTTTCAGAATCCGGTCCACAACTGTCAGATTTTGTTTATTGTTGGGGCAGGCAAATGCATTATAGTAAAATGCAATGGTTCTGTTGTTGGAATTTGAGTTTTGCTTATTGTCAATAGTGCACTTGTTGCAGTGTGTTATACAGTCCCCCAAGGAATAGCTCGGAATAGTGATTGGAAAGGGCTTGAGGATATTGCTATCCTGCTGTAATGTTTTGGCACAGTTGTGCATCCATTCTTTGGAAGGTATCGACGGATCGAGAAAGATGTAATCGTCCGGCAATAAATTTGGATCAAACACGTCGTCGTGATTGGTAATAGTGTCTGCTGCTGCTGCTTGATTGCTCGCAATTGGCGGCTGCTCTGGCGTGTCTTGTGATTTGTCAGCTGATGGAGTAGTGGGTTCCACTAGTTGAAATTCGGAGTCCTGCGTCGTCAAATTCGAGTCGGTCCTATTGCTATCAGGAAGGCGTGACGGTGGCTGGCCATTTTCCACTGTGACGCCGGATCGTTGCTGGGTTTGCTGCTGTGTCGATGCTGCCATATGTATTACTTTGCCGTCACGGACGATTGCAAATGGATCCTTGCTGGCTCTACTACTTTGAACTGTACTAGTAGTAGAGTTGCTGCTGCTGCTGTTGGAGAAACTTGCTTTTATTGCAATGCTGTGGTTCTTGGGGGTCACACTTATGTTTCGTTCTAGCTCGACGGTACTGGCGATATCCAACGACACCATCACAAGCCTTTCTCGTATCAGATCCCAGGCAGTCGATACGGCAATCAAGACCATGATCACAAAGACAAACACCCTATTGGTATTAGAAGACATCTTGGCCGCATGTGGATGGGTGATCGAGTGGTTGTCAATAGATGAGTGACCGAGCCACAAATATGCAGCTGGAAGCCAGTCGAGCCGGTTTGGTGATTTGGCCGCGTTCGATCTACAATACTTTCTCAGGGCTCAACGGCAACAAGTCCCTTGCTAGCTAGCTAGTAGAAGATAGACCTACTAGGTCTAGCTAGGAAGACTGTAGTAGATTGCGAAAGAGGAGTTTCTAAAGGGTAAGGAGGTTATTCACCGAAGCCAACGAGGGCCACGATTAATAATCTTAGAAGTGTCGAGTCCAAACTCTGGTACTAGTACCTGTGATCAGGGAGATGAATTGAGGACCAAGCAACGCACGGAGAAGATAGATGAGGCTGATTTCGACAGCAGGCAGAGCATCCGGACTGTATCGATCCTCAGTACCGTACTAGTACTTTCTCACTACAGACTGTACTAGCTAGTACAGTACAGTACCGGTAGTCCCTCTCATCACGGAGAAGACTGATGATTTCGGCAGCAGAGCATCTGGAATGTCTTGCTTTGCTTAGATGCATCCATCATGGCATCATCATGGCTCGAGACTACGGTACCGGCATTGCCATTCAGCCAGGTGGGCATCAGGGAGCATGAAAATCAGGGAGCGCAACAAGCATCGGCAAGAGAAACCAATCATAGTTTCACAAATGGTAAAACATTTATCAATGTTACATTCTCTAGCGTACAGGTGCCATGCTCCCAAAGTGTGGTGACCTCATACTGTAGTACAGCTACCCACGATCGATGGCTGCGAGCCTCTTTGTCAATTATCTAGCTAGCTAGCTATCATAGCCCATTGTGGGATGACACAAGCTCATGGAGAAGAAATCTGCATCAGCATACTCCAAGATACCATCTTCTTCGTCTTCTTCCTTGGCTTCTTGCTCTGACATTCTTGATGGGAAAAAATCACTAACATTCTGGCAGTAGGTAAAGTCAGTGTCTGGGAAACAGGCTGGGCAGTGGGAGTTATCACCACAAGGAACACAGCAACAGTCGTTGACGGAAACAAAGGAACTCATGTTGTAGCAATAATTGGGTTGTTCGCAGAAGCAGCCCAAGAAGGAGTCCAGTAGAATATCCATCAATCCTTGTTCGGACTCGGATTTACCAAGAGCTGCCTCGGCGGCAGCGTCATTCTTGGCCGCGAAAGCTGCAGCGGCTGCGGCGGAGTTAGCGGCACCTTCCGTTGACATCATAGAGGACACCATGGCAAAGATATTTGTCTGTCAGATGGCAATGTCACGAAAGTCATACAGACAACAACAAAGAAGAAGTTACTATGGGTTAGAGAGGGAACAGAAAACATGGATAAAAATGAAGGCCTAAAGGCTTCTGACAGACAGCTGCTGAGGTCGTCTTATTCTCGGTGGATGATCGATTGAGTGGAGGGGCGACGAGCCGACTTGCAAGACCAATAAGTGCCGATGAAAACATAGGCATCTGGGCCAAAAATAAGTACCCGAAGGTACGCGGGCAATTTCACCTGCTGGGCGGACTCACAACGGCAGGCAATGTGCCGAACAACACTGCGGCAACCGGCAAGCCGCGCCTCCCACTGCTCATCTGGCTCCTGTCCATTATGAAATTCGAAAGCACCATCTGATTACTCCTGCCCATCATGGAATGCAAAAGCAGACTACATGTAGCATGCTTGCTAGCTAGCTAGCAGATTGCTTGAGTAAACCTAGTCTACACTACTAGTAAGTTGATGCCACACTCGTCATCGTCACCATCTTTTAGCTTCTTGGATCCATGTAAAGTCCGGAGACTTGGACTCTTTAGCTAACAGAATATCAATGTTACACGCTTAACGCTGAACGCTCCCAAGTTGGGTTTCTTCTTGGTAGCACTCTCACACCTCACTGGCTGAAGCAACTAACGTACCGGTACGTATGGTTCAGAAGAATTGTCATAATGGCAGCCATTCACTGTGGGGCGACAAAAAGTCATGGGAAAAAAAGCTGTATCATACTCCAAGATGTCATCATCTTCTTCTTCCTTGGTTTCTACCACTGACATCCTTGATGGCAATACCTTCATTGAATTGCTGACACCTCCGCAGCAGGCAATGCCAGTCTGGGGGAAACATGCTGGACAGGTCAAATTATCTTCACAAGGAAGACAGCAACAGTTGTTGACTGTAGTATCGGTGGTACAGCAGCAATCAGGTTGCTCGCAGAAACTGCCCAGAATGGAATCCAAAAGAGAATCCAACAATCCTGCATTGGCATCGCTTGGCTCGAGAACTTCAGACGAGGCAGTGTCATCATTCTTTGACGGCAAGGCCGCAGCAGAAGAAGGAGAATAGTGTACACCCATGGCAAGCAAAACCCCAGAAAACGTGACAATCAAGGCACTTCCATTGATTTATGGAGTGAAATGGAATGGAATGGAAGAGATGGTGGCCTGAGTCAAAACATGAGCCACAACGAAGATGTTGCAACGGAGGGTTGCTTTGTGCATGTGACAAAGGAGGACATCCATGACTATTTATAATGCGTGCTGTTGGTTGCTTAGATGACTAATGGTTACTATGGCTTAGAGAGTGTTGGTTGCTTAGATGACTAATACGTGCTGTTGGTTGCTTAGACTGTTTGCGCCAAAAAAAATGCAGCGAAAACGTCGGTGATGCATGTGGCGCAGCGCACCTCTTGGTCCATGTACGGTACGAAGGTTTAGAGCCCCGGAGGATCTGAAAACAAACGGGCTGCGCCAGCTACCGGTACCAGGTAGCAAGTGTGACCGAACCACACCAGTGCTGTCACGAGTCGAGTCAAGAGTCGAGTCATGGGTCGACTCGAGGCTAGGCAGCCAGACAGCCCGATCGTACACACATGTGCCGAGGCTCCTTGGTACCAGTACCTGCACAGTACTGCAAAACAGTCTGATCCAAAAGAATGATGCTTCCAGCTGGGAAAGCTGTCCAGTATGACTTGATATGGATTCCTGTATCCGGTTCTGATGAAAACTGAGTGTTCTGCGGTAGCTCATAAGGAAGAGCTGATTTGGCATTGTGCCAGCCCGGTTGTTTGAATCCAACCACAAGACCACAAGTGTTGGTAGATGCCCTGATCATCAGAAGTTGCGGGCCCAGGCTCTGTGAGAAGGAAGAACTTAGAGATAGTCTGAGTAGATTATGTCAATGTGTTCCTCCTCTCCAAAAGAAGGGTTTGTTCCACATTGAGTTAACCAGCTTCAAGAGGTGAATAGGATGACGTGCCATTTTCCAGCTCCTACAATAAATGGATTCCATTGCAGAAGCAAAGCGCAACGGTGCCCTCGGAGAGATGGTGGCTATAGCTTCCAGTGGTTTGTTTGAAGTCAATCCCTAACACGATCAGAGACGGTCTGCGCCAAGAAACAAAACAGAATAGGGTGTCTCTCTTATTTGGCTGGGCCTGGATTTGCTAACATGGTGTGGTTGTCTGGTAATTAAAGATGTACACTTTCGAACCAGTACCAGGTACCCGATAGTGCTGCTACACACGACCGCTGACGAGAAAGAATTTTTTTGCCACCACACGGTAAGAACAAGAAAGGACAAAAGCTTCCACTTCAAGCTAGCTTGCTTCACCCAATGTTTTCAGGCAACATGACAAGGCCTGGCTACAGGTTGACTGTTAGTCTATCTTCGCTTCCAATAGCTAATCAATCATATACTTTCTAATGTATTACTCAGTATGTAGCGCCTAATTTGCATACCAACAAAGCATCGAGACCAAGTGCCAACCTTTCATCATGTCCGTCTGTCCATCCAGTACAAACCCCTTCTATATACCGGTATGCACATGGCCACTCTAACGCTGCCGTTTCGTCTACTGAGCACGTTGTTGGAAACAGACAAAATTCATCGATCTCAGTCCATAGTCGAGGACGCCGTCATCTTCATCCTCTTCGTTCTTGTATTCGTCATTTGTTGGATGGAAGGAGACTCTTTTGGGAAGCTCCGCGTTAAAAGACTTGCAACCAGCTTGGCAATCGGAGTTGTCATCACAAGGGATACAGGAACAGGAGGGTGTAGAACACGTACATGATACACAGGAATCATCGTCCCCCACTTGATGGCAAGGACAGTAACAGTCGTCCACTGGAAACATGCAAAAGAAGGATTCAATTATGAACTCGATGATTTCAATGTCGCAATTACATTTCATGGCCTTGGCCTGACAGCTTTGATCCACATGACTGTCGTCGTCGTTGATATGCATAGTTGGGATATCATTGGTGGTAGTCATGATACTTGGAACAGGTTCGATTCCTTCAGGCAAAAAGTAGATAGATATTTTTGGTATCAGGATCTGGTATCTTATAGATGAGCCGAGTCGATTTTGAAACTGTGTTGATCAGAAAAGTGTGACATTCTACTCGCAAAATTGGTCTCTGAATTCTTAACTTCCTTTCCTTCCGTCCTCGCTTTGATGGATGGACGTATGGTATACTCTTCAATCCTCTGTTGATGGCAGCTACGTATCGTGTCAAATGTATATATTATCAAATGCATCAGTGAGAAAGATACCGACAGCTTCTACTACATGTGGTACAACAAACCTCCATCGGCTCTTTCTTGTGGTGGCGGCATTCGGAATGTGAAAAGAAAATTTGGGTATGCGTGACGGCTGTCTGACATCAACATCCGGCAGTTTCCCAAACAGGAATTCTAAATACTCAGTTGAACTCGCTCACGATCGTGAGGCGGCAACGATTTTCATGCGAAACATTCCACAAGACTCATCTAGATCTATTGAAATATTCATAGTCCCGATGAGGGGTGGGCTGGGCTGGGCTGAGAACGTGCTCTCGGGGTTATCTAGCTACTAGATACGCTGTACACCGTAGCCCAACAAGATTAGAGCATGAAGATAGAGGACCTGGTGATACTGTTGTAGGAATGATGGAACCCTGAGGTGTTGACTTCGTCGTTTCTAGCTGGCCGCAATGAATGGGCGCCATCATTCATCGTTCTGCTGGCTGCCTGCAGTACCCAATCTTATGCGGGGATAGCTAGTCCTGCCAAGGCGAATGGTGCTCTGGTGATCTGCATTCAGGCTGCGTCGATGCCCGCTGTCCGTGAACTACGACGATGCATCTTGCAAAACAGAAACAATTCCGGTGAACCCAGCTATTCGTTATTTGCTGAAGAGAAACAAGCCAAGGCAAAAAGGCAAAGAGGTGTGGGTAGATTGATTGCCCTAGCTAGCTAGCTAGCTCGTAACAGTTACGCTATTACGTGTTTCGTACGAAAACGGATCCTCCAGTACTACCTACTTGAATTTGGTGTCTAATGGATACCCCACGGACCAACCCCCGTGCAGTTTGATCATTTGTTCAATGAACCGTGAAAATCCACCCGTGGAAATCATGAAATACTGGGCAAAACTCATGAAATAAAAGTCCTTGTCGGCATCTCCATTGTCCAATTGCATGTCCACTTGAATACCGGCACGTGCCAATCCTCGTTGCAAACAATTGGCATACGTGCGACTCTTTTCAAAAATCCAAGGTTTGTGCGATCCACCAATGATAATCAATTTGGATCCGGGATGCTTTTCGTGGAGTAGATTGTAATAGTCGTAGACACTAAAGATGGTTTTGAGTTTCTTTTTGCGTGCTTGAGGATGAAATCCTTGTCCTCCCCGTGTCAGCATGGTGACGACATCTTGTGGGGAATAATCCAGGACATCGCCCAATCGCAAATGCATGACCACATCCGTGGGATCTGGTTTGACAAATCCATCTCGTTGTCCAAAAATTTCGAGGACTTGATTGAGAATGGTAAAGTTTTTGATTTTGTGGGGACATGCCAGTTCACTGTAATATCCGGCAATGGTGAGATTGTAGTTTTTGTGGTGTTTCATATCGGGCGCAAAAATCTTTTTTTGTTTCCCTGGCAGTCCCAAGTTGCATTTGTTGCACGCCTTGATGCAATCTCCCAGGGCGTATTCTCCCAGGAGCGTGGGGAATTCCTTGACAATGGATTTATCCTTGCCGAGTGTGGCGGCACAGTCTTGTAGCCATTGTTTACTAGGAGGACCGGGTTCGGCAAATTGATAGTAATCTTCCAAAGTGAGACTGTGGTTGTACTGCCCATTGTCCGTCATATTGCCCCTTGGTAGTGAAGGTGGTGGCAGTGATGATGTTGATTGTTGTTCTTCCGTGGTTGTTTTGTCAGTATTGGAAGTTTCTTCCACAGGCTTTTCTGGTTCTGCTTCATTTGTCAGTACTGGAAGTGACTCTGTGGTGGTGCTGTTGGGTGAAGAATCTGATGTTGTTTCTGTTTCTGTGGATTCTGTGGTTTCATTTGTTGATGAAGTACTTGAGGAAGGTATTATTCCCAGAAATTCCTTATCTTCGTCTGTGAAATTGGCCATGTCTTTCGTGAGCAGTTTGTCGGCTTCTAATCTCTCCACCTCCAGTGCCGCCTGCCGCAATATCTCGGATCGGTTGCTCTTGTGATTGGCAGAACTAGTAGTATTGGCACTAATACTAGAATAATTTTGTCCTTCGTGAACAATGGTCCCATTGCGTACCGTAATCTTGCGATCTTGGACCCCTGCAAAATCCAGAGCCTTCATGGTACGTTCTTCCATCATGTCCCAACCAACCATAAACATCACCAACCCAATGATCGCAGATACCAGTACTTTGTTCGTCGTCATTTTTTCTTATGGTCTTTGATAATCGAAGCAATTAACTGCTTTGTGTGGGTGAGCAGTGGTGGTACCGGTAGTTTGAGAGGAGAAATCCCAAGAGGACTGCCTGCTAACGATATTAGTTAGGTCGCCACTATGACGAGAAGAGGGCAACGGGGGTCTTACTCGGTCAGTATAGTGAGTTGTAACCATGGACCATGATGAAGGTTGTATTGCCGGGCTGCTTCGATGTTCCGCGCTTCGCTTGCACTGTGACTGAAAAGTCATTCGCGAAACAATGGCCCATGCATACGCATACCGTACGGCCATGGTGGCGGCTAATAAGTAGGTTAAGCTGTGAAGGAAAAGAAGGATCCACGCCATCCTGATCCTTGCATAGTCAGATTGTGTTAGCTGCATCGCATGCCTCACAATAGACAACTTACATGTACCGGTACAAAAGGATGGAACCTTGGTCCATCACCTGGATCCACACCTGGGCCAGAAGCCAACTCCAGCCAGACACCACTCCAGGATCGATCCAAGCCCAACAGCAGCTTGGCTCCTGCACATCTTCCTTAGTTAGTTAGGTCCATCTCCTGGAGGATCTGAAGGCGTCAGCCACTCGTGCTACACCAGGAGCCGACCAACTCCTGCGCCACAGCATGGGTACACTCCGTCCCTACAGTAATTCTGGGGCACCAAAAGCTCCAACAACACCAGGGCCCTCTTTGTGTCCGCCCCCACTCCTGCCGCCCGTTCCATACATGTACATGTACAGTACGCTGCAATCTACAATGGAGCTTTGCTCCTGATTACGGCACCACGTACGGTTCGTGTGTACTGTATTGTGTGCATCACGTCGCGTCACGTCGTCACATCACTGGTCAAAAGCCATAATAAAGGATTTAATGAAGCTTACGTTTTCGGCGGAAGAGAAGTCCATAATTTTCGGAGGGGAAGATCCAGTATTATAGCCAAAGATTTAAAGGATTCTGAAAGGGAACACCAAGGAAGATCCGGTCAGTCGCACCAAAGTAAGATTACTGAAATTACTAGTACTGGCTAGTTTTAGGTTTTAGTGTTTAGTGTCCGAAGCGAATTCAGCAGCAGCGACGATCAAGAGTCAAGAGTCAAGAGCCATTGACCCAGACCAGAGCGTGGACAGAGTTGTGTCTTTTAGAACAGCAAAGACAGCCTCGCTATCAGAGTAGATATATTTTGTTGGTGTTGTGTAGTGCAGTGTTGACAATGACGAAAGAAGAGCAAGAGTGGCGCAAAGGACGAGAGTCTGATGATCGTCGAAGAAATGACGACGAAGAAGAAAAGGAAGAAATTGGAGAGCCAAGTCGCGGTCCGGCCAAGAAGCCACCTCCTGCTCTTGCTCCAACCTCTATGGACAGTAATACAGATAGTAATGCTCCTGGCAATGTGGATGCACTGATAGCCCGTGCAAGAAGAAGTGCGCAGCGGACGAGAGAATCCAGAATGTCGCACCAGCCAGCCAGACGAGACACTACTAGTACTAGTACTCCCAAGAATGAAGTGGATGTGGATGACTTTGATGTGCTCAAGCTTGTAGAAAAGCGAGCGAGAGATGACAACCACAGTAATACGCACCGCGGTCCTCCCCGACACACCGTCTCTCACAGTGCTGCGACTCGAAGAACTACGAGTAGCAGAACGGCTGCAGCGGCATCATCTCCACCGGCTCTGAGGGCACGGCAAACAGCACCTGCGGGCAAACTGCCACGCACACCCGAAGAAGCGGCTGTCACTCCAGGAGCCTACAGCAAGGCTCCGGGAAAAGATCTCCGACGAAACAGAGCCGCCAGATATTCCGTGCTCAAGAGAAGTCATCAGCCATCAAACAAATCAACACAACAACTACTACAAGAAGAAGAAGAACAAGAAGAAGACCACAGAAAACTACCTGCTTCTGCTGCTGCACTACCAGATGTGGATACAACGGCACACAATGAACGAGAAGCACAGATAGAACGCAAGGAAATACTGCAGCAAATGCACATTATTTCATCCTCTCAAATCGATCATCGGCACTACAGTCAAAGTGGAGCCTTTCTAGACGAACACGACGCAAATGACGTTAGTCAAGAAAGCAGCAACCATACTGATCATAGTAGCGACCTAGACCAATCCAAAGAACGATTCTCCTCGAGAAGTTTTCAAGAGCAGCAAACCAACCGGAACAGCATGTTGCATGATGACTCTCTGCAAAGCCAACACGACAATGCGATGATGGCCATGAGAACACTGCCGGACCCTGACGACGAACAAGAAGAAGCACCCATGGTTCAACGTCAACAACAACAAACAGAGCGGGAAGAAGCCGAACATCGAAAGAGAATATTGGCAGATACCCATATCATTTCCAGTTCGACATTGCCTCCTCCTGCTCCGAATGGCCACAAGGCACCGCACACACGCACGGATACAACAACAAACACCAGCAAAAACTACGAGGACCAACATTTCAAGGGAAACTGGATGCACAGTTCCACCACCAGCAATGGTGACGCCAAGAGGGCACTTGCCAATTCCGTTACTACGAGTCATGCCACAAACGGTTCGATGATGATGATGAGGATTGGAGCTGGAGGAGGAAACTATAGTCCGGATGCGGAGCAATCGCCCTTGCGGGGGCCTGTCATGATGATGATGGAAGATGGAGACGACTATTATTACAATGACCACCTAGAAGAAGATCCAAATTATAGTGATTACGACGAAAATTGGGACGAAGATGTACTACCCCAACAACCACCCCCTACATTCAATGATGATGATGACGATAATGGTTTACGAGGAGCTCGAGAAAGTATCATGGTCGAGGCCACGTTAGTACAGGAACGATCGCAACGAACATTGAATTCAACCATCTTTCATCAGGATACAAACGTCTACACCGAAGCCAAAGCCATGGACAGCAACGACATTATGTGGGCATTCTTGACCAGTCCCAAAGGAGTACTAACGGTCTGTCTCGCGTGTCTGCTCATTATTGGTGCCATTGTCGGAATGATTGTTGGATTGGAACGTACGGAACCCGCTCCGATGCCCACACTGGCGCCGTCTTTGTCACCTTCCTTCCATCCGACCTTGTCGCCCACCCAAACCTTTACAATCGACATGCTACCGGTATTTAGCCAACGGGCGATTGAACGCAACCCAGAATCGCCACAAGCATTTGCCTGGGAATGGTTGCAAGCCGACAATGACATGAATGATTACCCCTTGTCACGACAATTGCAGCGGTATGCCTTGGCTGCATTTTACTTTAGCACTTCGGGGCCACGGTGGAGAGACAATTCTCATTGGCTCAACGTTTCGGTCTCCGAATGTCACTGGAAATCCGACGGGAACGCAATAGGGACAGGATTCTGCGTCAACGAAACCACTCGGTTTGCCATGGTCACGTCCCTGATGTTGTCGGCCAAGTAAGTGCTTTGTTGTATTCGACGTGATGTAGTGTGGTGTGGGACAAATTGCTCATGAAGTTTTGGTGCCTCTTGCTCTTTTCAGTGGTTTGAGCGGGACCATACCTCCAGAGATTTCACTGTTGACAGAACTCCGAGTAATCAGTCTAGGAAACAATGCCGTAGGTATGTACCGTACCGGAAATTGAATGTCGTCCCCATCAGATCACAGCATGCCGCTCAAACTCAATATCTACTTGCACAGACGGCAGCATCCCATCGGAGCTGGGACTACTCACCAACTTGAGGGCCCTTGTGATTGAAAAGTCTGATATCGGTGGGGCAATTCCATTGTCCTTTCGGCGACTGTCCAGGTTGGAAAGCCTGGTATTGTCCGACAATGACATGCGGGGTCATCTGAGAGAGCGTATCTTTGCCAACACGACTTCGTTGAAACGATTAGAGTTGCAGAACAATGAATTCCTGGGCTTGCTCCCGACGTCGTTGCAGCATATGTCCTTGCTCACGGACGTTGATATAAGCAACTGTCGCTTTTCCGGTTCAATTCCGACTGAAATAGCACTCCTATCTTCGTTGGTGGTCTTCAGAGCAACCGGCAACTTTCTCCGTGGCAGCGTCCCACCATTGGCCAACCTCACAAATTTGCTCGAATTGGATTTGACGAACAATCAGCTTACAGGTCCCCTTGGTGATTTGCCTTCCTCCCTAAGTCGACTGCATTTGGGATACAATCTGGTCACTGAAGCTAGCTTTGAGAAAATTGTCGGCCTGGCTAGTCTCTCGTCGTTGGACTTGGAGGGATGTCAGTTAAGGGGGACTCTCCCGACAGAGACGGGAGTTTTGACTACGCTGAAACACTGTGCCTTGTCAAATAACCGGTTGTCAGGTACAATTCCGAGGTAAAAGAAGGACGTAGAGTGTCACTCCCGGCTTTATGCAATGATGATGCTGCTCACATTTCGTTTTCTCCTACATCTATCTGCCTTCTAGTGAAGTAGCTTTGATGACGCGCCTTGACTACCTTGGTTTAGGGAACAATTTGCTCACAGGCAAAATGCCGAGCGAACTCGGGACTTTGCATTATCTCGAGGTACTACATTTGCAAAACAATCAGCTTTCGTCAAGCATTCCATATCAAATTGGACACGCTTGGAACTTGGTCAATCTCAACTTTCAAAACAACTTGCTGAGCGGTCCTATTCCGAGTCAACTGGGCAATCTGAGATTGGAGTACCTTGAAATGTCCAGGAACCAATTATCAGGACATCTTCCGTCAGAGCTAGGATGGTGTCAAACACTCGTGCTTTTGAGCGCTGCTCACAACAAATATCTAAATGGAACATTGCCTTCGGAGCTTGGCCGACTCAGCTTTCTGGAAATCTTATCGCTTGCAAAGACCTCAATATATGGTTCGATCCCGACATCGTTTGGGAAGATGACCACTTTGCTCTCTTTGAATCTGTCCAATTGCCAGCTTGGGTCGTCGCTTCCCAGTGAGTTGGGGCGACTCTCTTACCTCCGGATGTTGGAGCTATCTCACAACAAATTCAGTGGAACTGTTCCTTCCGCATACGGTGGGTTGAGACGGCTTGAGTACCTTGGAATGAACCGAAACAATTTCACAGCCAGAAGAATTCCGAGCGGCCTAGGTGTCCTCCGTGATTTGACGTACCTTGGTGGCTCAGGCTGTGGATTTATCGGGTCATTGCCGTCCGAGTTGTATGGTGAGCGTAGAGGCGCGTCGTCTTTAAATCGTCCGATTGATGACACCCTCACAGGTTTCTTTGCGTCTCTCAGGCCTGCCCAAGCTGACGGCGTTGGACGTTAGTCAAAACAACATCACTGGGCCACTTCGACCAAACGGAAGATGGAAGAGTTTGATCAGTCTGAAGCTATTTCAGAATGAGATGACGGGTACTCTGGCAACCGAGCTTGGTATGCTCACTGTTTTAGAACTTCTTGCGTTGGATTTTAACGAGTTCGTTGGGAGAGTGCCCTCTGAGATTGGAGCCCTGACTTTGCTCACATCTCTTCATCTTGATTCGAACGATTTGTCGGGATCTCTCCCGTCAGAGCTCGGGCTATTGACCGGTGTTATCGAGTTTGAGCTTGCCAACAATCAAAACCTAAGTGGTAGTATTCCGTCGGAACTGTTTGGGCTCTCAAATATGGTAGGTCATCTTGTTGTGGCAGCAGGATGGAGAAGTTTGCACCTTTGCTTCTGACTGACATCCTGGACCCGCCGTTGCTCAATTGTAGAACGAATTCGATTTGTACAAAACGCGACTCACTGGACAGGTTCCGGAAGAGTTTTGTGCGCAATACCCTGGCTTGGCAGAAATTGACTGTTCGTTTGTGAACTGTAGCTGTTGCGAGTGCGAATAATTCACAGGAGGGCTTCCCGGCTGGACGAACAATCCCCAGGTATGAAGGAAGTAGAGTGCCATTCCTGGCTTTATGTGATGATGTTGCCACTCACATTTCATTTTTTCCCATATCTATCTGCCTTCTAGCGAATTAGCTTTGATGATGTGCATTGACTACCTGAACAATTTGCTTACAGGCAAAATTGCTAGCACATGTGTTCCCTCCTCTGCAAGGCAATCAGCTTCCGTCGAACATCCCTACGCGACTTGGCCAAAGCTTGGAAACAATTTGCTAAGCGGTCAGATTCCGAGTCAACTGGGCAACAAAACTGTGGAATCATTACCGGTAGGCACTCGTTACTAAGCTACAATTTTTGCCCCTCTACTACTCTAAGTAGAACCCCTTGCTGTCTACAATTTTCTTGTTCAAGCAATTATTAGTGTCAACTATTGTCTGAGAACTCTTCGCTCAACAACATCGGAGGAAGATGGTGAGCAATTGAAACGCTGAAAGGTGGCCGCTTCATGGAGGAAGCGAGCGAGAAACTTGGTCGTGTGGGCTCGTCGTCGATGTCGTCGTCTTCAAGGTGAGCACTATTCTCTGTGAACGCCTCGCTCAACATTGACGCATCCTGGAGAGTGGCAAATGAAACGCTCATGGGAGGAAGATCCTCCTTCTCAGTCGCTTTCAAGTAGGCGAGAGAGAAACTTTGTCGCCCGAGGTTGTCGCCATCGTCGTCATCATGGCCGCCTTCATCCGTAAAGTCCTCGCTGATTTCCATTGGCCGCAACGTGGCGAAGGAAACGTTGGTTGAAGGAAGGGTCTGGCTTTGTGTCATGCTCGTAGGTCGCCGCAGCTCGGTCAAAGACATGCTTATTGGACGAGAGCTCTTGTCGTGTGCCTCAGACGCTCTCGACAGCTCGCTGACTTTAGGAAGATGTGGTAGGCTGTGGGTCGATTTGGCAGACAAACGCGCGGAACTGTTTCTCGAGCTTCGTCTTCTTCGATCACTTAACCCACTCAACCCAGAGAGTCTTTTGGAGAAGGTTCTTGACACTTTTGATGACACGGTGTGGATGGATCTGACAGCGAAGGAATTTGCAGTCTTTTCGCTCTTGTGAGATTTGAATGATCGCCCAGATTTGAAAGAGCACCCATCGAGGCTGTCATCGTCGTTTTGGTTTTGGAAGGTCTTAATTCTCCGAACCTGCATATGGCCGGGAACTTCAATGTGATCCAGTTCAGAATACGGTTCCCCCGTGTGCCTAGACCCCGTGTGCCTCGAGCTTCGTTGTGCGTCTCGCAATTCCCCGTCTCGTTTCGCATCCTCGTAGAGCGAGTCAGCATTGCTAAACTTGAATCCAAAGATGGGAATGAGAAAGGACAAGCAGACAATGCAGATCAACGCCGTTGACAGCAAGTAGAATGCAGATGGTTGATTCATGACCAAAAAGATCAATGGACCACCCAGTAGGCCTGTCTCTGTCAAGCTGGCCAAACTCAATGCCAAGTAGTACGTCTCGGAAAAGAAGAGGGATACATGCCGTGTTTTGTAGCATTGGACTGCCACAAATAGCACCCCCAGCCCATTGGCAAAACACATCAAGCTGGCAAACAGCCAGACCCAGTTGTTGGTGCACTGGCAGGTCCCAAACGACGCAAGGTTTCTTCCATATTCGTCATAGCTTTCAATGGGTATTCTCGTGTACTGATAGGGTGATACCAGAGTCCATCCCACGAGCATTGCAATATTGAACGGGAGTAGGATGAACAGGGGAGCCATGACATCCTTGGTAGATACTGCCAGTTGTTTCAACGCCCGTCGTTCTTCCCCCATGATTCGGCTGACTCTCCATGTCTTACTCATCAATGCCGCGAGTGCAAAGACAAATCCCAAGAATAGCAACCACGGGACTGACATGCATGCCATGTCGAGCTGCGGCGTGGATTCTTCACCCTGCATCCCCAGTGGGAAAATGGCAGCACCCATGAGGGCCACTCCCAGACACAATTGGAGCAGAAACACGGGCTGTGCCGCTTGTACCACAAAGGATCTCCATCGGTCCGCCGTCCAGCAAGCGGACATGGCTGCCAGAAAGATCATCATGGCACCGAGACAATACCCAAATGCCACAACTCCAGTGGGCATTAAATTTGGGTCATAACCTTCGACGGGAGGAAGAGACGGAGGCGGAATGGTCGAATTGTTGGCATAGACAAATGGGATTAGGTTGGTGTAGATTTCATCCCCTCGAATCCAGACGGCCTCGGCGACATCAATCTTGATTTCTGTTGCGGTCGATCTATAATCCGAAAGTAGCAGATTGTCGATGCGATATTGTGTCGAAACAGCATCTCGCGTTCCCGTGTGTGCGTCGAATGAAACAAAACCGGAAACTCCTTCAAATCGTGTTTGCAACAATTGTTCATAGAGCTCTGTCCCGGAAAATTGTCCCGGAGTGTCACACGCAGTCAATCCCAATGCAATGACGCTGTCATAGACCAAATGATGGTAGAGAAAGGGTGCCACTTCGGGGGCGGGCGTGTAATTGGCAAAGAGTTCTGGATACGCGGTGTGACTGACAAACTCTTGAAAGGCCGTGTCGTTTTGGACTAGCTGCAAAAGTTGCTTGTCAAATGTATGCTGATAACTGGACTGCATTTGTAGATTGATCATTCCCATTCCGTGCATGGCCAGTGCAATGTCGGATTGGGTGTCTCGGTCCAATCCAAACGAAGGACTGAGTAGATATGTGAGATCAGGAACGAGCCAGGCATAGTCTGGGTTGCCCATGACTTGATGATGGAATGCGGATTGAATGACCATTTGCCAATCTCCTTCCAGGACAATGGCAAAGACATAGCGTGCCTGCGATTCTTTTAGGAACTGCATGCCCTGATCAATATTGTCTCGTTCCAATGGAAACGACACGAGGGAAATCCCTAATCGTCGTGCTTCTTCATTCAATGCCTTGTTGTATTGGACTCCGTAGGGTTCATTGATAAACACTGTGGCAACGCGTTGTACTTGTAACGAGTGGTAATAGGTCATGACGGCTCGGGCATCCTGTGCATTGGTCGGGATCGTACGGGCAAACAAGTCGGTTCCTTCGAGATCCATCGATGTCGAAGTGCCGCTAATTTGTGGAATCTCCAGAGCCGCGGCCAGAATGGCGACTTGGTTGGTGACGGACGAAAACAAGTTGCCCGCCACGGCAAACGGAGCGGGATGCCGCGGTTGCTCTTGTAGTAGACTGCTGTTGTCGTTGTCACAGTCTTGTTCGTGCTGACACTGATGATCGAAGAGCTCCCATAGACTCTCCGAAGCATCCAAGAGTTCATTGACGGCGTGCCGCGGAGAACTTTGAGTGTCTCGTGCCTCGAAAGTCCAATGAAAATCACACTCTGCGAGCATCTCTGGCAAATGCGGCAAGATCTCACCCCGTCGCTCTTCCATGTCGCGCCATGCCATGTACACCGCCATGGTGAACTCCAGAAAGAAGGGATTGACTTGTCTTTGAGAGTTCGCATCTTCGTCGGTAAACATCATGAGCGACAGCAAGTGGCCTTCGCGACGATTCGGACCGACTTGGCGGATGTTGGAGAGGCGATCTGAAGCCATGGTCAATCAATCAATGTATGTATTGAGTAGAGTAAAGTGTAATGGTGGTCTCCTCTCTATACTTCTGTATGGTAGTAGTTGTCAGTTCGGTGGAGTGTTGCTGGGTTTTTGGTCAAGAATGGTAGAGCTGCGATAGTACCAGTATGGGCGAGTCGTCACTCAGCTGAATGCAAAGACTGTGCACTTTTGCTGACTGTGAGCTTGACTGTTGACTGGGTGCGGAGTGCGGAGCTACTCGGCCATCGGTAATAGGCCTGAGATTCTGAGATTCTGAGATTTGTGGAAAGTGGTGAGAAATGCCTGCAGAAGTCAGCTGAAGATGCTCGGTGCAGGTGTAGTAGAGGTGGGATGCGAACCAATTCTACTTTACTGTACCGGTAGCAAGTCCTACAGTCGTACAGCTTCCTGGAACACACCGGTTACACTCCTAAGTCACAAGCCGTCACAGGAGCTTAAATTTCACATTTTAAAATTCATTATATTATAAGTTTCACAAAAACGAGCTGCGGCTTGAGGTATTGTACCTGGTACAAGTATAAAATCATTTGTGTAAAATTGATTCTACAAACGTACAGTTTACACATCTAATAGTGCAATGCAGTCAGATTTAACAGTGGAGGAAATATGTTAAGTCCCCAAAACCTACTTGAACAGGAACGCCAATCTCACTTGTTGGCTTTTTTAAATCGGCGAAGTGAAATGGCGAACCACAGGAGAACCACTGGATCAGTTCACTTTCTCTCAAAAGAACTCCTGGATTTATTGACTATTTAAGAGACGGTGTGCGCACCGAGTAGAGGCTGGGGGCTCATAGAACGTGTATCACCAATCCCACGAAACGAAGGTGATCCAAAGCAATAAAGTGACCCCTGAAGTAACAATCGAAGAAATAGTAGTGTACCCTAACCAAAACAATAAAGGGTCACTTTATATCTTTGGTTGGTTGACCTCCGAATCGCCACTCGAGTGCCACAGCATGGCCAACAAACCAGTCGTTCGACGCTCTACAATACTTGTGGAGAGGGAAGCCACAATCAGAGCGAGTTTGGAGGTCGGAGATGCAACCACATAATAGTAGTCAAAGCAAAGAGCTGCGGCGCTCAATCTCCTTCCTCTTGTTGACCTCACGGAGCGAGTGGTGGAGCGGCGGTGGTTTCCTGCTACTACAACAACAACCTCCACAACTACACCGCCTTTGAAGCTTGCGCTTGTTGCTACACCGGTAGTGGTAATATAGACGAATTATAGAACCCTTACTTGTATTTAGGAGCGTCGTTTCGTTGGGTATCAGTCTCCGGAGCATCGTCATGGTGGGATGATCGGTTCGATCTGATCCGTTTGTTGTTGTTGGCTGCAGCCACTTCGCGCCATTTCGAAAAGTGAAAAGACGCGAGCACGAGCCAAAACGCGCGACCGCCTCCAGTTCTTCCGCGGACCGTCTCTTAAGTAAAATACGCTCATACTATCCTTTTACAACAAGAGGCAAAATCTCATTCGTTGAGGACATCCGTTGAATGATTCATTCGATTCAGGCATTAAGAGGAGAGGCACTCAACTTGTGAAACTGATGTTAGCATTTACTGAACCCTTATCGCCTGTACAGTACAATACTAGTATCAGTGATCGTTGAATGTTTGGGCAATAAGGAGAAGATGCACTGAAAATTTGCCATTGTGAACCCTTTGAGCTGGACTGTACGTAGTGTCTGCTTTGTCCAGTACCAGGCACTGCACCTTTTCTTCTCACGCAGATTGTTTCCAGTACTAGTAGTAGCTTTCAGCTGTAGCTATAGAGCGGTTTGGCTTCATTCAGCATAAAGTTATTTTTCTTTGTACCATGTACTCTCTCTGGTTTGGCTCCGTGGCCATATTTTCCCTTTTCAGCTTTGGATGCCATTGATGGTTTACAGTACTTCATCGCTCTATAGAGAAACACGATGCTGGCGAACACCAAATCCAAAGCTTTTCTCTTATTACGAAGCTCCCCTGTTTCCTTCCATCCAACGAAACTAAACCATTCGGAGACGAAGTTTGGATTGGGATGAGATTGCAGTGGCCTATCACTTGAACCGGTAGTCCTAGACTACTGTACCTTTCCTTTCGTAAACGTTTTCTTTACTTTAGTAGAGCAGCCTGATCTGAAATCGGCGCTTTTTGAAATAACCCACTACAATACCAGTACACACGCACATCCCTGATTTCCACGAACTAACCGAGTCGAGTCTGATCTAGTTGCTAGGAGTGTAGGTCTTCATTTCCTTGGCATAGCGCTCCTGGTCCTTGGCGGCCATCTTGTTGTACTTTTGCTTCTTCCTGTCGGTAAGAACCTTCCACTGTTTGCCAACTTCGGCAAATACCTCAGCATTGGTCGAACTCGCAGGCATCTTGGCCTTGATGGATTCACGGTTCTCCGAAACGAAGTAGTTGTAGGCGGTCAAGGCACGCTTGGGGGCATTGGGGTCCTTCTTCTTTTTGGTGGCTGGGGCCTTGCTTGCGGAAAGGTCCGAAATCACAGACACAGTGTCCATTCCGGTAAGGTCGCCACCAATGTGCGGAACCTGGACGGACTGAGACTCCAAGAGCTCGAGGGCTTCCTTCTTGTCCTGGACGAGACGAGCAGCGCAGGCCTCTTGTTCTGCTTGCTTGCGATCGGCAACCTTGACATCGTAGACTTCCTTTTCCTTGTTGTAGCGATCACGGTCTTCAGCAGCCATGTCTTCGTATTTCTTGGCGCCGTTCTTGCCGGACTTGGTCTTGTCGAGTTTCCCCCACATCTCACCCAAGATCTTGGAGATCTCCGTCACCTTAGCATCGGGGTTTTCCTCCGCTACCTTGGTACGCATATCTTGGGCAAAGTACATGTAAGAGGACATGGCACGTTTGGGAGCATCGGGATCCTTTTCCTTCTTGGCTTTTCCTTTGCCCTTTCCCTTGACGGTGCCATCGTCTTGAGTCTTTTCGAGAAGAGCCTGGGCTTCCAAGTGGGCTTCGTAGAATGCCATGGCTTGTTCCTGCTTCTTCTTGTCGTAGTACATTTCAAGGGCCATTGTTTCCTTGTTGTAGGCTTCCATCTCACTCTGATAGCGGGCCTTGTCAGCTTGGGCTAGCTTGACGTACGGTTCACGGATTTCAGGCGCAGTCTCCTTCCAAAGTTGCTGCAAGTTAGCAGACTCCTTCTGTTTGGCGGGAAGCGTGTCACAGTAGAACTTGTAGGCAGTCTTGGCAGGGACAACAGTGCACTTCTTCTTCTTCTCCTTCTTCTCAGATGGGGCAACAGAAGCACTATCGCTCGTCTTGACAAAGTCGATTTTTCCGAGAACCTTGACAAGGTCGTGGATGTTGTCACGGAGTTCCTCGTTCTCAGTCTCCAACTTGCGCATCTTGGTACCTGGAGTGGTCGGAGGAGGATCACGCTTGGCGTTGGCGTCGAGAGTTTTGAGACTAGCGCGTGTCATGGTGAAGAGGTAGAGAAAATAAAGCAAAGAAGCAAGGCTAAGCACAACAATGGCAAAGAGTTGACCCAGGAGATGATTTGTGACGATTTGTGAAAAGTTGGAAGCCCCGAGCTCGTCGGTTCAAACGATCCACAAATTCAAACAGAAGATTTAGGAGGAACCTAACGAACTTTTTCTCGCGCCAACCGCAAAATGAGCCGTGATCATTAGGGTTCCAAGTATCTTCTCGTGACTACATTGACTCAGGACTAAATGCTCCGCACTGGCTTGCTACCGGTAGTAGCCACCGGTAGAATAGCTAGCTAGAGCTCACCAAGGGGGGTTTTAGAGTAGGGAAATTATCTACGGAAGCCAGCCGGGGCCAGGCTTAAGCAAAGAACAGTCGAAATTCAGGACTAGGTTCTGTGGGATCAGGGGCAAGAAATTGAGGACCATTACGGGGGGCAAAGGGTTTGGCTTTGCGGGATCCACGGAGACATAAATGGTAGCTTTCACAAGGGCAATTGAGATAGGGTCTGCATGAAGAACATCATTTGAGAGTAGGAAAATTGAGTTTTGGAGGCAGTAGCAGAAGCAAGGCGTTGTAAGAGAGTCTTGGCTTGAGGGGCAAGCATGCCATCCACTGAAACAACAAAGGGGTGGAAGGAAGCGCGATTGGACTCGCACGCATCTTTATATTTGAAATTTTGTCGCGTTCTTGTTGGGTTAAAACTTTGACGGATCTTTGTTCGGTAAGAGCACAGTCCAAATCAGTGACACGTACGTCAATAATAGCTGTAGTACCTCGTTCAAACAAGCCGCGAATGGAAAGATCACCACGTAAGAGCTCGGGGGAGCTAGCGGTCTATGCTGCCCTTTGCTAGATCTGTCTAGCTAGCTACTAGTAGACTGCTTTGGGTTTGTTTGTGAAATTATGAAGTGTTTATGATGGCTATCTACAGAGTCAGTGGCTTCGGCATGACTATGTTCTTTCTAGGGGAACAGTCTTGTTGTCAGCTCCTACATGTATCTTGACAACCCTCTTGTCACGACTATTGCAAAGCTGGACCAGCAGCACAACAATACTGTAGGCTACCACTGCTATGTTTGGTATTCTCAAAGTAAATCCTCGAGTGGCTGGCATGTATGGTTCGGTTTCCCCTTAGTTTACTTTGCTATCTATAGATATACGGACTGAAGTACCACTTCCCACTTCCGACCCCAACGTGGCTGAGTTCATCATTCATTCATTCATTCCAACTCGACCTTTGCCTCTTCTTCGTCACATTCAGCAGCCTCCACTGCACTCGAGACTTTGTGGTTATTGCTCACATCATGGGTTGTAACCGTGTTCTCATTGTCGCCGGATGATGTTCCACGTTGATTTGAGTCTGCATCATCGCTAATGCCGGAGAAATGGATTGCTGGCGGATTGACACCATTGCTATTATTTGACTTGTGGTGATCCCCGGACCACAGTTTGCTCCAGATCCCCGAAAATCCACTGGATGTTGCTCGAGTAGGAAGAGACGTCCGTGGGCCTAAACTCCTTCGAATAGATTGCATGGCTTGGTTCATGTACCTCGGTTTGATGTAGACGAAAAAGTTCCAAAAGCTGCACAGAAGCAAAGAAAGGAGAAGGAGAGCACTTGCTTGTGAGTCTCATTGGACGGATGCAGACACCAGCCAGCACGGTTGATCAACTTTGCAAACAACTGTTGCTGTGTTCCACTTACCCTTGCAGTGGAACCATTGTCGCGGCGGCCAACGTCCAGCCGTACCGCGTAAAGGAACTACCACTGGCCCAGGAGTACTGCAATGCCAGATACACTGGCCAGGTAACGTAGAATGCCATGAGATACCAGAAACTCTGCCAAAAGACTCTTGATGGCAATCGACTCGCTCCACTGCGCCACTTGGATGCTCTTTGTTCCGTCTGGTAGACACTAAAGCACATGGTCCCCATGACCATGGTGGCCAGTCCAATTGCCACGGCCACGGGGATATCGGGCCAATACGAGGCGGTATTGTTGCACCAAAGCACCAAACTCCCATAGAATGGGATTCCCGCAAAGGCAAATGTGAATCCCACGAGAAGTGGCACCCCAAACAAAACGGGACGAATGGAACGGGCTCGTTCTTCTTGCCAACCATATGTAATGACCAAAAAGTAGTACACGGCCAAGCTGACATTGATATAGGCCGAGATGGTTCCCATTTGGATCAAGAATGCCTGCGCGGTACAGGTTCCTTGGTTGCCATGTGCTCCGTAGAAGGGTCCATAGGGATCATCCTCTGGCATGGGAAGAGTCGTCAGGGCATACCCAATGGATCCCAAAATATCAAACACACTCAGCACAATGAGCAATTGATTCATGACCTTTTGATGGTCCTCCTTGTAGGCATCATAGATAATATAGGATGATCCGAGAAGTGATAGAATGGCCATGACCCTGGGCAGCCATGCCAGTAGTGCCTTTTTGGTGTTGGTGGACGCCCCGGCATATCCCGGTCCAGCGCAGCCACAGACATAATTCATCATTTGCGCGAGTTGACAATTGGTGGAATCGGCATCAATGCGTGCCGTTTCAAATAGTTTTTGGACTTGCCAGCAATAAATGCCTTGTCCAAAGAGCGGAAACTCCTTGTCGGGATAGAGGACATCATTGTTGGGACAAAAGTGGCACTTGTTTTCATCGGACGATCCAAAGTCAAACGCCCCCGTGACATCGTCGGGACAAAACTTGCATTCGGGAAAGACGAGTTCACTGGCACATGTGCGAGCACAGGACTCAATGGCCTTTTGGGCCGTGACCCGACCGACATCTTGCCGATTAAAGAAACAGGCGAGTGGATCCGGATTGCCATCGTCGTCCGTGGGACAGGAGCGACAAAATCCTTCGGCCATGACTCCACTTGTAATCACAGTATTGTCCTTCATTGTAGCCTACACAAGGAATATCGTCAGAGCAGAATTGTTGTTTCCAACAGGCCGTCCCCACATTGGTCACGTTGATGGACAGCCAAGGACCACTACCGAGTACTATTTGTTGTTGGAGACGTTCGGCGTCATTGTAGGAAATGGAGACGGAGGGAATGTCGGCCGTTTCAAAGTTGGTATTTCCCGTCCATGTTTGATTGTTGGGCGTTCGTGGCTCGTAGTCTCCGTAAAAGACCACTCCAATGCCGCCCAATGCCTCGCATTTTCGAATGACGTCAATGTAGAGTGTATTGCGTGTCTTGTCATTGACCAAGCAAATAGCGTCTTTGTTGGGAGAATGATTGTCACACGTTTCTTGACCGTCGTAGATGAGATTGGTGCAATCGACTAAAGGTCCATGGACCACGGATGGAGGAGAGCCACGCAGTGCCATGCTGTTGATGATTGTTGTTGTGTTGTCAATACTAGTAGTTTCTTCTACTATAGTGAAATGCATGGGAAAGCAAGTTCTGTCGTCACAGAGAAGACACTCTTCTTGTCCAAAAGTGTTGTGAATGGATGGATTCTGGACACACTCCGTGACATCTTGATAGCAAGGTTGACAGGTTCCAGTTTGTTCTTCTTCTTCTTGTTGCTGTAGCACCAACTCTCCCATTTCATCTTCTTCCGTGTAGTTGGTGATGGTGGTCAAAATCGCATCGTAATTGCAAAAGGATTGTCGTTCATCGCAAGAGTTGCTTTCCGAACAATCGTCTCCTGCTTGTGGCTTGATACAGCTGTCCACGCACGATTGTACATCGAGAGTAGTACTGCTATTACTAGTGTTGTTCCAATTGCTTGCGTGCTGGCTGTTGTCCAAGATACAATCGTCCTCTGTAACAGCCACTCCTTCATTGGGACAAGGCACACATGCGCCTTCACTGATGCGACAGTAGTAGTCCAAGACCCAACAGCCACCATTGTCTCCACGGCACTCGGCAAAAAAGTGAACATCTGCTGGTTCTTGCGCCAATGACCACGGACTAAACAGTAGTATGACAGCTATGAACGGTAGTAGCTGCTGGCGACCGGCCATTGTCGTTGTGTTGTTGCTGCTGTACTTTCCCTCTTTGACTCTCACTCGTTGCCGTTTGGGCATTGCTGTTCTTCTTATTCTTTGTTGTTGCAGTACAGTATTACTGTGTTATGCGTTCATTGCTTCTTTACCGGTTGGGATTTACCTGCTGGGTTTGGCCAGTCAAGCAGACAACACAACCGCTTGATGGATTGAAGATCCGATCCGATTCGATTCATCATTCATGCCACAGTTGCCGGTTGCCTTCCTACAAGGTCGGCATTGATACCGGTACAGTAATGCAGTGCGTGAGAACGCTTTTGGGGCAATCAATGGCAACTGTGAACGACGCATCAATCGTGGGCAGTCCCACACCAGACCGCCGGGAGTTGAGAGTTAATTAGAGGGGAAGTCACGTCTTTTTACCTTTTGAGGTCCTCTATAGCTTTTTCTGCGGACTGAGATTCAACCCAGCCAGTATTCCATTTCCTGCCCGGGTTGCTTCCTTCCAAGATCTCCTTCCCCCTTCTTGGGTTGTTTTGGTCTGCTCCATGAGCCCGACCCCCTGGCCTAGTCTGCAACAGAGCACGAGGAGGACCACCCTGACACCTAGTATTAATACGGAGTACCTCCTCTTGGATCAGCCAAGCACCAAGGAAGTAGTATTTACTCCACTTGAAGCTTCAGTACCCCTGGTTCACATCTACTAGGTTCAACTCCAGGCTCAACACCAGGGCACACTCAAGGAGCACCGGACCACATGCCTTGTCCACTGGTTGCATGGGAGTCCAGCCACTGCCTCACGGACAAGCATTCAGCACTCAGCACCTGCCTCGGGTTCATCAAAAGGCTCAACTCCAGCCAGGCAGGCTCAACACCAGGGCACACTCAAGAAAACACCCTTTCCGGACCACTTTCCTTGTGCGTCCACTGGCTGCATGGAGTCGAGTCCAGCTACTCCCGGCCGGACAAGAGCGAAGCAAGCATGCACCACCTAGCTAGCTGAGCACTTGGCCCTGCTTGCAACGGTACCAAAGACATACCATACCGCAACTCCATGAACCCTCTTCAAACTTTGCCATTCCTTCTCTCGGACTCACCCCGCCCAGCCACCATATCACATACATCTGCAAGCAAGACCAACTCCTTCCTGACGATACGGTGCTGGGCGAAATCTGTTTGCGAGCAGTCCAGCAGGGCGGGGAAGGGACAATTCAATCCGAATGGAATCGAATCTGTAGTATGATTTAAAGACGATTAATCATTCAGTCCCGACAACCACCTTTCTCAGGATCTTCCACTGAAAAATCCAGCTAAGATAGCCAGCAAGCTAGCTAGAGCTGTCTTTGTCCTCTCGCTCGCCTCTCACCCATTGCTTCCTTCCACTGCAAGATCTCCTTCCCTTCTTGGGCTGTCCGCCCCCTGCAATGCACTGCACTGCTGCCCACGACCAGTGGAGTCCATCCCCACCCTGCTTTTCTTCCAACAAGTATGGTATCGACTGGACATCTTTGTTGTGCTGATGCCACAACTGGTACCACCAGTACAAACCTTCACTGTGCTACTAGTACATGTATCGTGTAGTGCCTGAGTTGACGATATCGTCTGGAAGGCGACTTTAAGGTTCAGGTAGTTATGGCAAATTATAGTTTGCAATGTAAAGCGTAACTTTAACCCCATAATTACCGCAACTACCCTTCTAAACTGTCTTCCTGGTTCGCAGGCCAAATTGTGAGGCGTCATCAGTGACTCAACGTCCCAGCCTTGCAGGCTTGTGGGTTGCCGAATCGAATCAGTCGGCTCCATTCAGAGCTGTTGACCGTCCACAGCTGTCCTCTACTGAGTACTGAGTACCGTACGTTCTGGGTTTTTATCTCCGAACTGTAAAAGAAGAAAAGTGTCAAATTGAATGCTTAATTAAAAGGTAAGGTATGGTTGATTAAAATTTAATGTGGATTCGTACCGGTACTTTGTATTAGAGTCTAACAACGTGACTCTTCTTGGGACTACTTAGTTAGGTACGAGTTGTCGCGACTGCGGCTCGAGGCGTTCTGTAGAATTTGACAAAGTGCGCACTTTTGAATAGGTGGTAGAGTACACTTATTGGCAGACAGTTAAATCCGAACTCTTGTGCTCCTAGCAGCTTCCTGCCAGGGATCTGTTGTCAATGCGAATTGATGTGCTTCTCGTTTTTTTTTGCAACATGCTCACATTATCTTCCAAGCTATTTTCAAGCTATTTCAGCATCTCATCCACCTCCTCTGTCCAACCCGTCCACACCATACATCGTAGTCCCCTCTAACCCATAGTAACGTTTCCTGTTTACAAAAGAACAATTTAGTCTAGCCTAACCATGATGGACGAAGTCAAGTTCCAAAGCACACCGACGGCCGCAGCTGCCAACGGAGGAGGTCTCAAAGGATCTTCGTCTACGACGGATTCTCCTGGAGTTGGCAGTGATGATAACAGGAATTCTTCCAGTGGTAGTGGACAAGCCTCGTCAAGACATACGTCGCTCTCGTCGTCCAACAACAACACCCAAAGCTTGTCTCCGGAAGAACAATGCCATCCCTCATGGCCATTGTCCAAGATTGTCACGGCGCGTCTCTTGTTTGGACTGCTCTTGACGGCCGTCGGGATTGTCTTGGCGTTTGAAGCCTATTCGTTCCTCACAAAGAGTGAAGCCGCGTTGGCGGAAACCCAATTTGCATCCATTGCCGAACGCGCTTTGTCCAGTGCCCAAGCGATTGTCCTGCGCAAACGCAAAGGCGCCGTGACCTTGGCGAGTGTCTATGCGAATGTCCATCCACACGCCCGCGATTGGCCCAATGTCGCCGTCGATGGAATTCCCGAAATCATGAAGCATGTCATTGATACCAGTGATGGCCGTGGTACTGCGTTCATGCCCATGCTGCAGCCGCATCAAGTTGCCGATTGGGAACTATTTGCGTACAACTACTATACGTCGGAACAACAACGACGACCACCTTTGAATTTGACATTGTTCAATAGTAGTTTTGGTTTTGGCATTTGGGCCCGGGATCCTACACTCAACAACACGGACAAACGCTATCACGACACCACGGGGGAATCTCCCTGGGGCAGTCCGTACACGTTCTTGGCACCCGTCTTTCAAGGACAAGCACCGGGCATGCCCAAAGTACGACTGTGGAATTATCATGCCGACAAGAGTCGGGGCATCATGATGGATGATATCTACGAGTGTTCTCAAAAACTTACCACGTTTGCAGACAAGAGCTGCAGTGCCATTAACGATGCCTTTTTCCTCATTGCCATTCCACAATCCAATGGACCGGCCGCCTTTTTACAAGAACCCATCTATCCAGCCACCACATCCACCAACTTGACGGGGTTTGTCGTCTCGGTCATTTTGTGGAGTGATACATTGGAACAGGTTGTGGCGGATGAAGTCAGTGGGGTCGATTGTATTCTGAATACTGCCACCCAAAGTTTTACCTATCATATTCATCAAGGTGTGGCCACCTACATGTAAGTACATTTGTTCTACATGTATAGTGTGCAAGTACTTGTACCATCTCACATCGTCATCATCTTTCATCATTCATTACTGTATGTAGTGGCAAAGGAGACCTGCACGATCCAGACTACTCTCACTTTGGAGAAACCATTGTCTTGACGGGCCAAGACTTGTTTACCGAGGCATCCGCAACGTACAATTTAACACTCTATCCATCCGCAGACTACTTTCACGTATACAGTACGGACAATCCAAAAGTGGCGACCATTGGAGCGGCATGTATCATTGTCTTTACCAGTATTGCCTTTCTGCTCTATGATGCCATTGTGCGAAGAGTCGTACGAGACAAACAAGCCATACTGGATGCCAAACGACAGGTATGATGTCATTATTGTTTCTATCTATACTGTGTACATGTCATGAAATGAATTGCACTCACCATGCATTCTATATGGTTCATTGGATACTAGTTCATGAGATTCGTTTCACACGAGGTAAGCTCCCTACTAGTATGGCACACTGCTGCCTCCATCCCATCACTCACCTTTTTGCATATATCTGATGTGGATCCTATAGGTTCGCACCCCACTCAACTCGGTTGTCATGGGATTGAAGTTATTGCAAGAAGAGATTGTCACCTTATTTGGTGCAACTCATGGCCAGCAGCAGCAATCCTCATCATTAGTGTTGGATGATAACCACGGCAATAGCAGGAACGACACAACCAAGAGGACGACGACATCGACAAAAGAAGCACAAATGGGAGCTCTGACAGACTTGTCTCATGAAATCATTGGGAGTGCCGAAAGTGCCGTGGCGGTGCTCAATGATTTGCTCAACTACGATAGGATCGAGAGGGGAGACTTGCCGCTCGAAATCTCCATTGTCAGTATTTGGAAGGTCATTGAAGCGACCTTTGCTGAATTCAAAGTACCGTATCAAGCAAAGGGAGTCAAGTTTGAACTGGATTTCAGTCAATTGATTGATGGCGGGGAAGACCAATCCAACTTTGGTGACGTGGAGGGCGGTGGTGTGCGACCGACTGCCCAACCAATCAAAAGTTGCAAACACCTGCCTCGGAGTGCACTCGAACGAAGGGTTATTGGCGATTCCATCCGCATTTCTCAAGTGATACGGAATCTAGTCAGTAATGCAATGAAGTTCACACCAACAGGAGGTACGTACGAATCGAATCAACAGTTCCGATGAGAACTTTGGTGTGCGTGGGAGTTTGGTTTCGGACATGACTCTATCTCACTCTGAATCTCATCACCACCAATAGGCAATGTCACGGTCATGGTTTCGTGGGTGCGGCCTACTCAACATGACGAAAGCAAAGCAAGTCTCGAAGAGTTCAGCTTGAATAACTGTCCAGATACCGTAAAACTCAAACAGAGTGGCAAGCTTCTTGTGGCCGTGAAAGATACCGGAGCAGGCATGAAGCCAGACCAAGTACAAAACTTGTTTCGCCCCGGTGTGCAGTTTGACGTTAATGAACTTCAGGCTGGAAAGGGAAGCGGTTTGGGATTGTATATTGCCAAGGGAATTTGCGAACACCATTGTGGTACGCTAACAGCCGCTTCCGACGGTCGTGGGAAAGGAACTACTATTACGATGTCTCTTCCTTTGTACCATGTGCCCGATGAAGCGCTGCCGGAAAGCCTGAAGCGTCTACAGCTGGGCAAAGTACAGAATAGTACGTCGCTCCTGAGCACTGAGAAGCTGCAACAAGCCAATTCTTCGTTATCGGCATCGAACCGATGGAATGACTCGCTTCGTATCCTGATTGTCGACGACGCCCATATGAACCGGAAGATTCTTACCAAGCTGCTCGGTAACCGTGGACATGAATGCGATCAAGCCGAAAACGGGGTGGAGGCGGTGAAGATGGTGAAGAAATCGCTGGGTAGTGGGGAGTCGGCAGAAACGTATGACACAATCCTAATGGATTATGAAATGCCCATAAAGAATGGGCCTGACGCTGTGAAAGATATTCGGGCTCTTGGTTGTGATAGTTTTGTGATCGGTGTCACGGGCAACATCCTTCCGGAAGACCAGGCTCATTTCAAGGAGTGCGGGGCGAATTGGGTGTTTCCAAAGCCCTTACGAATAGAAGATCTTGAATCTATCTGGGACGAATATGGCATCACAGGGCGGCGCCGTTCCGTTGAGGAGAACGCGTGAGAGACGAATGTTATTGTCAAGAACCGGAGATCGACTTCAACAATGGAGTCGATTGTCGGCCATTGAAGTTGGTCGATTTGGAGGTGTTTCCAGGAGGAATTGCTGTTTGTCATTGCATACCAAAAGGCTCAATCCACTTTCCTGCCTGTACATGCACATACATTCACATAGATACTGTCATACATAATAGATAGTAACACTCCTTTTTCTATGAACGAGCTTTTTGCTGCTACCTTGGATGCCCACAATGAATGCTTGAGGGGAAAACGCATGATGGTTTTCCCACGAGATAAAGACCCGAGTCACTCAACTGTTGATCGCGCTGCAGCTTGGAGTCGCCTGCTTCAGGCTATGCTCAACCTCCCAACGTTACAGCCAACGATGCTTCGCCACTCAACAGATGTACTCTGTCCGACAGCAGTGCCTTTGCCCGCTTGACTGCGCTTTTGTGCAACCGGCAGGGATGGCTCGTAGGTTGCCACGTTGCCACAGCAATTTGCCCACTTCCTAGTAGGCCTTTCATACTCATCTATCTTTCGTACTGGCTCCTTTGCTTAGGTTGGATCTTTCTTTTGGTTGCTTTGGAGAAAACCTAAGATCTAGCTAGCTATAGTAGTGGCAAATGTCTGTTGCTAGCATAGTTACAGATTGTCAAGCATGTGACGGAAAAACCAAGCATGGTTCTGGCAGGAGATCAACTTTGCATTCTCAAATACATGCTATAAATCGCAAGAACAACCACAGCCACACAACATGCTGCTCCCACCACAATCAAATGAGAATCCATAGGGTCCTTCACAAGGGCTCAAGCTGGTGCCAATGCAGGTACCATTCACATTACACAAAGCATCTGGTACAGTCCCAAATAATCCCGGGTTCCCTTCCAGCTTTAGTGTATGCAGAAATGGTTGCAACCCAGAGAGCTCCCATGGTATCGCCCCAGTTAGGGAGTTATTGGCAACATTCAGTCGACCCATGGAAGTCAGCTGTCCAAATTCGCGAGGAATTTGTCCGCTGAGCATGTTGTTTTGCAATTCAAGCTTTTGCAACAACGTCAAAAGCCCCAGCTGGGTTGGGATGGCCCCAGAGAGGAACTGGTTGTTTTGTAAAGTCAAAAACCCAGCCAGAGTTGTCAGCTGTCCGAATTCCGATGGGATCTGCCCTGAAAATTGATTCTCTCGCAGCGACAGTATCGTGAGGGAGGTAAGTAACCCAACTTCACTGGGAAGGGCCCCAGAATGGATGTTCTGGGATACAGAGAACATGCCCAAGCTGGTCAAACGACCTAGTTCTGTTGGCAGACTCCCCGAAAACTGGTTGCCCATCAATGTTAGCCAGCTTAGTTGTCGCAATTGACCAATCTCTGTGGGTATTGTTCCTGCAGAGAAATGAATTCAATCGTTACCAAAAATTCCAGAATGAGTTTGCATGCAAGCAACCATCAAGAATGAACCAGAACACCAAACAGACAATTTGAACTTACCCGTGTGTTGGCAGCCGTCCATAATGAGCCATTTCAGCTTGGACATGGCGGCAATGGTGGTGGGAATAAAGCCATGGAGATTGGGGTTGCCACTGGTAAAGAATGTTTCTAGATTTGTGAGTTGCCAAAGTTCGGTGGGAAAGACTCCCTGATGATTGTTGTCACTCAATCCAAGACCTCGAAGGTTCGTCAGTAGACCTATTTCGGTAGGAATACTTCCAGCATTCTTCTGGACATTAATGACCAATCCCTCCAGCTCTGTGAGTTGCCCCACTTGTTGGGGAATAGTACCTTCTAGTCGATTGACTCCGATGGACAAGGTTTTGAGTGTTGTCAAGAGATACAATTCATCGGGTTGGAATCCCACCAGATTGTTTTGATCGAGCCAGAGATTTTGATAGAGTCCTTCTTTATTGCAGACTGTGGGTGGTGGTTCTGTAGGAGGAAAGAACTCGGATAGGTACCCCGGATAGTGTTTGGCCAGCTTTTGCTTCATAGCAAAGGATGACATGGTGTACCAATCACATTCATGGACAGTGTGGTTGAGCCAATGTGTATTGGTGTTCCAATTCTCACCATTGGTTGCAAAGTAGAGTGTGGCAAGAGCAAATCTTTGAACGATACGGCGGTCTGTGTACTCCACTGACAACAATAAGTCAAGGTCATCGATGAGCCATTGGTATGCTTTGGATGGAGGTGATTCTGGTTCCTCCATGATGGCATCAATGGTTGCATCCGGGAAGAGCGACAAGATGGATGCTTCCAGAGTCGTGGGGGCACTGGAAGGGAGATTGTTGTCATTATTAGTGGTGGGCATCGACTGAGTTGTACGAGACTCGCTGTTATCCTTCTTGATGGAAGGGACAGTGAATGCCAGAAATATCATAATGAGAGCAATGAAAAGAACGATTCCAATTAAAATGGCAGTCTTGACTTGCTTGGCTCGCTGCTGCTTCCTTCTTTGGTGTTCACGTGCATCAAAATTTTGTGCGCGAGGTAAATCGGGTCTGGCATGACTATTGGAGATATCATCGTCTTGGTCGTGTACCAAGTTTGCTACCGCTAAGCCCGTGTAGTCGAGTGGTCGATCACTGTTTGCACCAGTATTAGTGTTATCGTCTTGTTCTTCTGTGGAGAGATTGGGTCCAGCCTCTGCAAATGCTCCTGGGACATCCGTGTCGTCTTCCAATTCCAGTTCTGGAGAGGCTCGAGATAACTTGGCCAGGACTGGATCTTCAGTACCGGTACTAGTACTAGTATCCTCTACTAGGATATCGCCCGCTGAAGGATTAGGCTCAGGCTCAGGCGAAGGCTCAGGACAAGGTTCTCCCGAGAAGCCACTGCCAGTGCTGGTACTACTACTAGATGCATGGGTATCGCTAGCCAACTCGGTAGTCCCTCGGCAACTCCTCCTAGTCACAATATCCATCAGATCAAAGTCATCTTCGTTCCTGCAGGTAGCCTTCATGATACCTTTTACTTTTAATAAGAGAATGCCAATTCCGACAGTAACAGCGGTAGCGGATGCAGCAGCCAGATAGTTTACTTGCCAACAATATGAAGAATGGCAGATCAAGATCTCGCTCTGCCACCATGCCGCGATTGCCGCGATAGAGGGTGTTATGGTTATGATGAGCCTGCACCTGTTCCTGGCATGGGCCTTTGCGCTGCCGCTTGGAGCTCTTCAATTATTGGTTACGCGAGACATTTCTTTGCGACACGAGCATCAATGTTGATTTATTTAAGATCCGGCTTTCCTCGTGACAGGAAAGAACAGCATAGACAAGGAAGCTCCGAGGTGAATAATAAAGAGACAGCCGAGCTTCAGAGCTGCTCCAGTCTTACAGTCGTGTGCATAGTCTCAGCGTCTCAGCCCCAGGGAAGAGGGAAAATGGCTCTTTTTGTGGTCACGAAATCGGCTAATAAGGGCTATTAATAGTCTAGAGAGGTCAAGCCTGGTCAAAGTTTACCAGGAGAAATTTGCATTATTCATTCATTGACCACGGTTGACCACGATTGACCACGGCTGACCATGGCTGACCACGGCTGACCATGGCTGACCACGGCTGACCACGGTTAACCACAATTTTCCTGAGCAATTACCTAGTAAAAGACCATCAGTGACCACGCTTGACCACGGGTGACCACTCTTGACCACTAGCGACCACGCTTGACCACGAGCGACCACCTGTGACCATGGTCAACTGTGGTCAAAGTGACCGTTTATCTTCAAAGTCGGACTTTTATGGTCAACGATGGCCAAAGCATGTCCAACCTGGTCTTGGTCTGGAGCACCACGGTCTCTTTTTCCCTCTTCCCAGCAAAAAAGGCGGTTCTTTCCGTCATGAAACAGCTGCGTCCAATCGACAGAAGGAGAGTAGACTATCAACTGGCTTCCCAGCAACTTGACTCCCGGACCACGGCTGCAAATAGGTACAGGTCAGGCCAAATAGCTGCGCCGACGTCTTTTGGCGGAGCCACGATGGTCAAATTGCCAAGTCCCAAATCCTTCATGTAGGTCTCTTGCATGGAGATGTCATACAATGTGCTTCTTTTCCTTATTGCTGTGGTAATCTGTCCGTGTTGGCGGCGAACCGGAGCTTGCTGGACATGGCTGATTCTGCGACGAATGAATTGGTTCGTTGATGTCCGGCCTCTGGAGAGATTGCTGTACTTCTACGTTACGTTGACGTGGTGGCAGCAATATTGAAGACCTGTCATGGAGCTTGATTGGGTACCGGTTTCCATTCCGCATTCTGCCAAAGCCAACCATTCCTTGAAGACCCATACTTTTTTGAATTGAGCAAGAAGGAAAGATCCCACAAACTCAGGGGAAAATCCAATCTGATTCTTACTAATTTTAAAAAGAATGGCCAATTTCCAGACTCCTGGCATGAAATCTACCACTACGTGCACTGAATTCCAGATTGCTGCCGGTACCGGTACCTGTACCGGTACCTGTGGAGTTACGGGCAATATGCATCTTCCCCCATTCTGAGAATTTATCTTGTCCAGCCGTAGCACTGCGCCTGACACTAATGCCTGGATGGTTCGAGGAGACCAAAGATGCCGTGCCTCCCCTTCCTCGCTGTGTTGCATTGCGCTGCAGGTACTTGGGTACAAATACGGGGAGTAATATACTGGCATTCACGATGAATATCATGCATGAACCCACCAAATAGAACGCGGTAGGTTGGCCCATTACCAAGAACAACATGGGGCCACCCAAGCAGAGGCTCTCCATTAGACTGAGCATGCTGACCGCCAGATACGAAGATTCTGACAGTGTGGTTGGTAGATCACGGGCCACATAGCTTTGATACGTGGCTGTGGCAATCCCAACCATGTTGAAGAAGAGAATGGGAATCAAAAAGTACAGAAACTTGTTGTCCTGACTCTTGCACTGCCCCCAGGATTCCAGGCTTCTTCCATATTCATCAAAATTGTTGCCATCGACGCGGACATATTTTGCTGGCGACACCAACGTCCACCCCAAGAGCAAAGTGACATTGATGGTCATGAGTACAACAAACGGCCACATGACGTCTTTTGCTTGTACTTGAATCCGATTCATCCCCTGACCCGATGCCAAGAGTTTGTTCAATCTCCACGTCTTGGAGAACAAAGCTGAAAATGCAACGACAAACCCCAACAAGAGCAGCCAAGGGGTGCACATACATGCCACATCCAATTGAGGAGTCGATTCTCCCCCCTGCATACTCATGGGTATCACTGCCAGACTCATAATCAAAGTCCCAACACACAACTGGACCAAGAAAATCGGCTGACTGGCCCGTACCACAAAGCGTTTGCGATGGAACAATGTCCACGCCATAATGCCCGCACTCAAGCACACCATGAATCCTCCCAACAACCATCCGACCACTTGCGCTCCCATGGGTATAAAGTTATAATCGTGTTCGGTCACTGGAATGGCCAACGGACGATTGGTGGTATTGTCAAAGTAGATCCACCTATGGGCATGTTCCACTTGACCCTGTGTGACCACGACGGCCAAATTCGAGTCAAATCGGATGTAGTCGTCATCGGATCGCTCCTCACTCCAAAACACATTGTCAATGCGGTACGCAACACTGTCGGGATTGCGTGTCCCGGTGGTGGTATCAAAGGTAACTGTGCCGGTGACGCCTTCAAATTCAAGATGTACCAACGTGTCGAAGAGTTCTGGTCCCGTAAAGAGTCCGGGCGTCTCACATGCGGCAATGGCCAAGCTGCAGGTGGCATCATAGAATAATTTTTGGTAGGTGTCAATGGTAGGAACAACAAAGGTGAAATTGTCGAAAATGTGTTGATCCTCTGATGACACGTGTGCCGTAATGAATTCTTGTTGCAGTGTTGTACTGTTGACAAATTCAAACATGGCCGTTTGCAGCCCCTCATTGTTGTTGCCTCCATCCAATACCACCGTTCCCACACCCCGTAGTGCCAGCGCCAGCGCCAGCTTTTGCTCAACCGGATTGTGTCTTGACAACTCCATTGTTTCCGATGCCCATTCAACTAATTCCGCTCCAATCCAGACATAATCATTGTGTCCGATGAGTTTCATTTCTTGTGCTTGCAACAAGACAGATCTCCAATCGAATAAAACGGCATAGACATATTTCAATCCCGATTGTTTTAATTGCTGCAATGCAGATGCAATACTGGCTGTGTTTCCATCATCGTAACTGAAGGATCGAATGTGAATGTTCAATTGATTGGCGGCCCATTGCAAGTCGGCATTGTAGTAATTTCCCCAAGAATCTCGAACGTAGAGACACGCCACGTGTGTGACTCCAATACTCTGGTAATAGAGCATGACGGCTCTGGAATCTCCCGCATTGGTAGGGATGGATCTGGCAAACAAGGGAGAGGAATCTAGAGCAGCCGAGGAGGCCGAGCCACTGATTTGTGGCAACTCGTAGGCTTGTCCAAGCAGTGTCAGAGGAGACGTGACACTGGAATAGAGGGCCCCCAAAACGGCAAAGGGGAATTGCCACTCCTGATCCTCATCATTGTTGTTGCTGTCGCTAGTAGTACTAATGATGTCGTTTAGTTGTCGTTTGTCTACCACCACCACCACCACCACCACCACCACCACCACCACCAACACCACCACCACCACCACCACGAGGAGGAAGAAAGGGAGGCTGTGTATCTCGGGGTATGGGGGCAGACGTTCTAAGAGGAGGAGGCGTACGGGGAGGAACTGTGCGTGGAGGTTCTGTTTGTACGTTTGCCGTGGGAGCTTGGGAAGTTGGTGCATCCATACCGTTCGTGGGAGAGTTGGTGGGGACATTCGTAGGATATTGAGTTGGATTCTCAGTGGGTTGCCATTGTCCTTGTGGTGGGCGTGACAGAGTCCAATAGTTATTTTCTGTACCACTATGTATATTTTACTGCTAGTAGCAGTGTTGTGGGTGGAGGAATGGCTGATTGGGGTTGGATCGGTGGTAGCGGCGACCAATGCGCGAACGGCTTGACGAGGCGAGCCATGTGTGTCTCTGGCTTCTAACATCCAATCGAAATCACAGTTTCCAAGTCGCTCTGGTAAGGACGATATCACTACAGTCGTACTCCATTCCTCTCCAACGCATGCCGGAATGCCAAAAACGACGCCACATGCATGTACAAGAATGCTTCATTCACCACCATCATTCCATCATTCCGGTTCGTGAAGCCCAACAGAGTCAACAGCTTGCCTTGCCGTCTTGTCCCATCCTCATTCCACCGGATTCGAGATGGAGTGCTATTCGACATTCTAGTTGTCATTCTACTACTGGCTAGCTAGTACTGTACTTCTTGTGTTTTTATTACTCCTCCGGCTTGCAGAAGAGGGAGTGCTGCTGTTGCGGTTGGTGGTGTGGGTTGAAACAAAGAAGTGAGCACTTGCAGCCGCACCTCGGACCTCGGGTCGTAGCTGTGGTCATGTACTGTACCGGTGGGCTGTAAAATACTTCCCGGAGGAAAGGAAGCTGAGGATTTAACAGCACCTGGAAAGTATTGAAGTGCCTCTTCTTTATCAGCTGATTCAGACCCCATCTGGTGACAGCGTAGGAAAGGTAGTTTGGGCATTTAACCGAAAGTTAACTGACAAAAAATGTTTCCTTGTACCCCAGCTACCGGAGTAACGGCCCCAACCATTCAAGCTGTATTGCGACAGTTGCGACATCCGAGCAGAGTTTTGAGTTTTGGTCCTGCTCCATTTTATTAAAATCCTATTCAAACAAAATAGACTAATTGCCAAACTCCCATGAAATTGATCTTGGACAATTAGACTAGCTAGGCTCTAAAACTTACTCGAGTATGCATAGTGGCTACACGTGTAGTACCTTTTAAAAGGCAAGGGTGGTTCTCTCCAAGAAAGGCTCATCGCCTCTGCAGTACCGGTACAGGTACTGGTACTGGTACACGTATGTACCTTTCATCCTTTCCGTAAGCCCAACCCGTTGGGAAGACTACATGCACAAGTATTGCACCCCATGCACGCATTATTCCACGTTTGTTTTCATACACCCAAGAGGACGCCTTCCCTGCTCTTGTTGCATCTTGAATTCTCTGCATTACATGTGCCCAACCAGCCAGTCTTGTTCTTCTTGGACAACTAGATCTAACTGTTACCGGTACTGTCCTGTTCTTGGACAATCAGTTGCAGTTATTGCCCTGTTCTTGGACATCATTGGACAACTGTTACTGTCCACACTTGGACAGAACAAGAACAACATGCGATACGTCTTCTTTATCCTCCACTTGGAACTTTCTTTCAGCCGAGCCGAGCCGAGTCCATGAGTACATGAGCTCGAGAGCTCCTTCACCGGAGCATGTGCAATACACGGCTCTTAGCCTTATTCGCGACTCGATCCTAGATAGGGTTTGAGTTCGACTCATGACCGAGTCTCTCGTGAATAGTCATTTGAGACAGGGTTCTCAATGACCGCGCTAGTCATACTAGTTGATGATGAAACATCGCTCTAGATATTTAGCCAGCGTGGAGTACTTCCACGCTACTAGATCCAGGCTAGACAAACCTTCCACGCGTTCCGTTTTGGATCGTGGAGAGACGTAGATTACTACCACAACCTACTCTATACACTTTATAGTCTCCCGCGGGAAGCCAGATACGATCCTTGATGATGACTCTCTCGTTGATTAGTTTTTCATAGCTTTCTAATCTCTCTCATAACTTTCATTCTCTCAAACTCAAAACACTCGAAAGATCTTTACATAGCTTTTAGCGTAGTGCATTTTGTAACAAACACAATAGCTTTCAGCTACCCTCAACCTATTCCTTCACCATGAAGATGGCTCAAGGAAAGCATGCGTTCCGCAACTTCGAGAAACAGTTGCGTGACAAACCCATTTTCCTCTCGTGACAATGACGAAGACACAGAGATCGACGACACTCGTGCCACCACTTGCAAACTTCGCAACCATGTTGCCAAGGAAATCAGAAAACTCTGACAATGAGGACAACTCCTCTATAAATTTCAATCACTTGGATGGAGAATCTCTATCTAGGATTAGGCCAGATGATGATCAACGGAACCCTGTTCCATTTCTCATACCAAAGTGAATGAAGATATCTCACTAACTATAAAAGAATTGTTGCAACTGGTGCAAACGATGAACTCTACGGCAAAAATTAGATATTTGCCTAGAAGCTGCTCAACTAAGATCTGACGATCTATCTAGCATCGTCAACCTCGTTCGTGGCCAACCACCTCGTAAACGTCGCAATACAAGAGACCTCTAAACCATCGTTTATGTTAGATTTTACAAGCGAGAAAAAGGGAAACCAAAACCCGTTACATCCGTTGCTTACTGGATACAGGACATCCGGAACTTGAATTGCTCAAACTCATGCTAAGAAATTAAGCATGAAGAATCTTGGGGCGTCCAACGAATGTGGACTACCCCTGCAGGAGAATATAAAAACCAGCACCGAAGTGCAAGGGTGCATTCATGATTCCTGAATTCCGCGAAGATAGAATTATCGAGTGGGACTTCACGTCACCAAGAGCTTGGGGGACGTATGACATGATCATAGGTCGAGAATTTTCTCTGACTTAGGTTTCAAGTTCGATTCACAACCAGTCAGTGGAATGGGACGGCGCATCTATCCCTATGAAAGATAGCGATACCATGAAGAAAAAAACTTTTTCATTCCTGAACCTGCCGCTGTCGATGACAGTGCAAGATCGTCTCAAGAAGATTCTTGATGCGAAATACGAACAAGCTGACTTAAGGCAGGTTTGCCAAAGTCAAAGATCCAGTTAAACACGGAAGAGAAGGAACAGCTTCACTCCTTACGACGAAGTACTCTGACCTATTCATGGTACTTTAGGAAAGTGCAGATGGACGACTACGAAGTGACTTCTCCCTGATGCTAAACCCTATCATGCAAGGGCTTACCAATTCCACGGGTCCATACCACAACTCTTAAGATGGAGGTTGAAAGTCTCTGCGAGGCAGGAGTACTCAAGAAGGTAAACCGTTCCGATGGGCGGCACCAAACTTTTATCAATTCCCAAAAAGAATGGATCGAATACGATTCATCTCATTTCCGGAACTGAACAAAAGGATTAAGCGGAAGCCTTATCCTATCCCAAAAATACAGGAACTGCCTCTTAAATCTAGACGGATTCAAGTACGCTACAAGCTAGACCTAACATGGGAATACTACACAACGAGCTGTCACCCTCACTCGAAGCAACTGTGTACCATCGTACACGTTGGGAAAGTACGAGTACCAAAGGTTGCCAATGGCCTGATGTAATATCCTACGACATCTCCAAGAGAAGATGGGAACACTAATGCACGACCTAGAAATACGTCGTTCATACATTGAGATCACTCATCCTAACTAACGGTGATCTAGCAGATAACGTTAAAAAGTTGGATGAAGTCTCTCCGAAGGCTTCGAGAAGCCGGACTCAAGATCAAATGCTACCAAGCCCTTCTTCGAAAGAGAGAAATTGAGTCACTAAGGTTACTGGATTACTCGAAAAGGGATCCAACCTATAACCAAGAAAATAGACGCGATTAAGAATATCGCTCCTCCTAACAACAGAAGGAACTCCGTGATTCATTGGACTAGTGAACTACTTATCGAGACATGTGAATTAGACGATCACATGTACTGGCCCCACCGCGTCGTTGACTTCCAAAACAACGAATGGAAATGGGAAGCCGAACACCACAAGGCCTTTAGCCAGATGAAGAAGATCATCAGCAAAGAAACCTTGCTCGCCTTACCCTGAATTAAACGATACATTCGTTATCCACACGGAGCGAGTGATACTCAACTAGGTGCGGTAATTCCCCAGAAGGGAAAACCAATCGCGTTCTACAGCAGGAAGCACAAACCCTGCTCAGACACGTTACACAGTTACCGAGAAGAACTTCTCAGTATCGTAGAAACTCTGAAAGAGTTCCGTAACATTCTTCTAGGACAGAAGATCGTTGTACATACGGACACAAGAATCTTACATGCAAGAACTTCAACACCGATCGCGTAATGCGAATTGCACTACGCTAAAAGCTAGTGTAAAGATCTTTCGAGGTGTTTTGAGTTTGAGGAAGAAAGTTATGAGAGAGATTAGAAAGCTATGAAAACTAATCAACGAGAGAGATCATCAACAAAGGATCGTAGATCTGGTTTCCCGCGGGAGACTGTAAAGTGTGATAGAGTAGGTTGTGTAGTAATCCTACGTCTTCCACGATCCAAAACGGAACGCGTGGAAGTTTGTCTAGCCTGGATCTAGTAGCGTGGAAGTACTCCACGCTGGCTAAATATCTAGAGCGATGTTTCATCATCAACCTAGTATGACTAGCGCGGTCATTGAGAACCCTGTCTCAAATGACTATTCACGAGAGACTCGGTCATGAGTCGAACTCAACCCCTATCTAGGATCGAGTCGCGAATAAGGCTAAGAGCCGTGTATTGCATTCGCCCCCTGACAAGGTCACAGAAGGCGCGACAGCAGTCGGACAAGGAGAACATATGATTTAAAGTGCGGGGCACTCTCATGAGATTTGGATGTAGACATGTGCGTCGCACGATGGCAATCCTACAAGGGGATCAGGCCTTGTATGGGTGTATATACCTTATGTTCCAAGTCTGGTAGACTGTGCCGCCGTTGGCGTAGCATGTTGGAGCCGTACAGTGCCATTGTCATTGACTCGGTCTATGGTGTAAGGACCTTTGTACTTGGGCTGACCGTACTTGCGGTGCTGATACTGTTGAATCATCACAGTATCGTTGACATTGTATGATGAGGGACACGCGTTGCGTTTTCCCTATCGTTGTTTTGTTGGATTAGTCGTTGGCGACGTTCCTTAATGTACTTCCAGTTGGCTTCGAACCGACGTTGTGAATCGCGTCAGTTGAACACGAGCTGTGGGGCGTTGCGCGCAAGGTGGTATGAATCGTGCATTCATTGCAAAGCGAACCGCCGTGAGGACTCCATCCCAGGATCCATTCACGAGGTCGTCTTGGCACTTGATGTTTTGAACAGC